GCCGTAGGTTGCTTAAGATGTCACATTTTCATTAGATACCACACTCTCTCAGAAAACGTACACAATACCACACCCGTGTGCTATTTTTTTTCAATCCCGGAAAAAGCGTCATTTTATCACACGGTGACACAAGATACACACACCCCTGAAGTTGGGCCGCATTTTATCGACGGAGCCCCCGCTTATCACACGGTGTGACAACGTGAGGGCATGATATCACAAGCAGCAACCTACTCGCAAAAGGCCATGGAGGCCAACAATGCCGTGGAGGGTGGTGCAGTTAGCAACCCTGCTGAAAGCCCCGCGACTCAGCCTGCAGTGGGAAAGACTCCAGCGGCGGCCCCACGCTCCATCGCGTCCTTCTTTGAACCCGCCCCGGGGGAACGTGGGGCTGCTGGGACGACTCCCTCAACAGCCGCGCATGACGCCGCACGTACTGCTGAGGCCCGCCCAACAGAATCCACCGCTGCTGAGACTCCCACAGCACCGGCTGCGCCTGCCACCGCGGGTGCCGCTGAAACCCGCGAAGCAGAACCTACTGTTAAGAGTCTCACAGCACCCACACCCGCAGCCGAAAAGGCAGCTCTCTCGCCAACCACCAACACCCTGAGCGCGGCTACTGCCGAGAACCCTGCAGCAGCACCGCGCTGCGGAGAACCATCGTGCACCAACAAGCCCTTGTGGGCAGAGCCAGGGAAGGACATGCCGGAGTTTTGAGGCAGGCACGCGAAGTCTGGCGACGTCTACATCAAAACAAGGTGTGCGCAGAGCGTCTTGCAGTTTGCAGCCCCTGGGTGTTTGTGAGGATTCTCATGGCTCAAGCAAACCAAGAAGCAGGACACGCCTGATTGCCTGATCGATTACCAGATGGAAAAAATAACGTGATTTTCACGTCGTGTCGTCGCGCTCGCCTCACTGTATTTTGACATGTACACATTATTTTGACTTGTTGTTCAAAGATATCATTGTGTGTAGGCGTAATGTTTACTTGCTCTCTCGTTCACACACACACGACACGTTTCCGCATGACGTTTTTTTTGTGTTTGTGATGTTTTGGTGGGAAGACTGCGAAACCCGCACCCAACACGTGCAAATAGAAACATAACCTCGACAGCAGTTCGTGCCTGTTTGTGTGAGATGCGAAAAAGGTGGCGTCAGCTGCTCACCCTCTGTACCTTGCAAGCGTGGACGCCATGACTCTCAACCTGGTGGGCGTTGTCAGAGCTATCCGATAGCCATCGTATGTTTGGTACGTTTGTCTGATGGTCGTTGGAGCGAGCGCATTGTTACGGACACTGCACTTAACGACACGTATGCTACATGTTTCGTTGCTTCCTCGAACTCATGCGCTTTTCAGGAACGTGCAGCTGCCTGAAGCACCGACGACAGCAGCCGCAGCGGCGCCCGTCGCCGACACCATGTTTCCTGGAGAGTCAGAGGAGTGGACATATGGTTTCGGTGGGCGTCTCGACGGCACGCCGGCTGAGGGCAAGGGCAGGGGCAACAGGAAGAGAGAGCCGCTGGAATTGGAGCCACCGAACTTCCCCATGAAGTTTGGTGGTGGCCAGAAACGCAAGCGGTACGATTTGGAACTCAAAGTAACCACCATTAAGTACGCGACCATGCAAAGCCCGGGAGCGCAGGGGCCTAATGGAACCATCGGTGTGTCGTATGCGCAACGAGTGGTTAGGATTCCCGAGAAGATGACATTCTTCAGCGTTGATAAAAGACAGAACGAAATACGAGAAGCAGCTGGAAAAGACAGACCAGCTCGGGCCCAAAGGCACGCAAAAAGCCCGGAGCGCAAAGTCGTTAAAAACGGGGAGGGCTCGGTCAAACGCGGAGGCCGAGCTCGAACTTCTCGACTGGATGAACGACCTTCGTTCGGAAGCCATCTCCGCCCGCGTCTCTACAAGGATGATCAGGAACAAGGCGGCATCGCTTAACTCTCTTTGGTTCGGCGCGAGGGCTGCAATGAACGACCTGGAGGGCAGTAGGAAGTACCGCAACAAGCAGATTCATTGGTGCAGGTGGTTTCCAAGAAGAACCGGTTGTCATTCCGGGCGGTCACCAGGCAAGGCCAAAAACTCCCTTCAGGGTGGCCTGCGATTGCCATGAAAGCCGCAAAGAAATGGAGGGCGCTTCGTCACGGAGGAATTGACCGTGGGGGAGGACGGGGCGCGGGGGGTACAGCGAGCAGTGCGCCTTCGAAGCCACCTCTGTTGTTCAAGGAGGAGCAGAGCTACAACATGGATGAAACTGCTGTGTGGATGAAGGTCGCTGGCACGTCGACCGTGGCGGTGAGTACAAATAGTGTTGCTTTGAATCATGTGCCTGTCTTGTTTCTTGGCATTACTTGCAAACAGTGGGCATTGTGATGCCATATTTCCTGCCGTATACCTACTCAAGTGTCCAGCCAGTATGGCTAGACGACGTTGGTATTGTGCTTATGCCGCGTTAGATTTTTCCTACCATTCGCTTCCATCATCACTGTACTGCAAAACCATTATGATACTTTGTGCGTGAAGAGCTGTCATTCTTATCTACAAAATGAACTTCTTTCGTCGCCTCTGCTTTCTCTATTGCTTTTTGCTTTTGCTTTTTGTCGTTCGCAGCACACCGGTCAGAAAGAGGTGGCCATCAAAACCGGTGGAAAGGAAAAGTTGCGGATCACTGCCGTGCTTGTAGCAAACATGAAGGGCGGCAAACTCCCGCCGCTGCTCATCTTCAAGGGTAAGCCCACGGCGCCGGGAAAAACCCCCGCTGCAAACAGCGTCGGACGAGAGTTTAAGGTGGGCAAGGACAAGAAGGGGGTAGCATACCCTCAAAGCGTTGTGTACGCCGTGGACGACAAGGCGTGGCACACGCAGCGCGTATTCAGGCATGTTTGGCTCCCCCAAGTATGGAACCGGCGCCCGGGTCGTGAGGGGGTCCTGGGCAACTACCGTCAGCCGGACACGCTGCTATCGCGGGACGATTACACCGTGCACAAGACAGCCCTGTGCAAGGAAGCGATGGACGAGTCCAACACAAAGCTGTTTTTCGTTCCCGGAGGCCTAACGCCCAAGATCCAGCCTTGCGATGGACTTATCAACAAACTCTTCAAGTCCAACATGTCCAGGCTGTACGGCGACCGCATGGCCTCCACCGACGCCGTGCGCAACGACCGCGGCTACCCGAAGCCCCCATCGAGGGGATTGCTCGCGCAGTGTGTGAAGAAAGCGTGGGATAACGTGGACCCTGAGAGCATCCGTTCGAGCTGGAGGAAGGTTGGCATGACCCTTGCCTTCGATGGGTCTGAAGACGAGGCGTGGGCCAAAAAGGAGCTCAACTCCGACGCTCAAGGGACACCACTTCGTGCAGACGGCGACGCGGCCGCTGCCGGCGTGGAGGAGGCTGGCCCATCGGAGGAGGGGGAGACGATGGCAGACTTGTTGGAGGCATTGGAAATCGACGACGATGACAGCACGGGAGATGGCGAAGGCATCGATGACCCGGAGGTTGAGGTCATGGCAGACTTGCCGGGGGCGGACGTTGTTTGCATAGACTGAGTGTCTCGTCTGGTATCTACCTACCGTAGTTGCATGCCATGGTCAAGTCAACCAAAGCTGCGATTCGAGCCAATTCGTCCTGTGTTTCATATGTTTAGGTAGTCGCTTGTCCTCTTTGGATGCAGTTTCTGGCTTTGGTTGATATGTAGCTGACACTTGCTTGCGTCCTATGTGGTCCCAGCTTGAGTGGTGAACGCAAGTCTTGCAAGTCGTTGCGTCGTCCAGGTACCTGTGTACTGTCGTTTTGTCGCACACAACACCGACACAACCGCTATGAGGAATCTGTACTACTCGTTCGTTGTGTACGTATGCGAAGAATTTCCAAAGGATACTGCCAAAATACACGTAGGAAAGCATGTGCGTGATGGAGTGGCGTGAGCCACCCTAGCTATCACACCTGTTTTACACCCCTTCACGCCCTTTGCAGGCCGGTGCCTCCTTTGAGCTGCATGTCGTGTGACATTATTATCACATCCCCGTAGGTAGGGAGGGTCCTGTGGGCGCACTGCAACCACACGGGCGACATTAGCTATCACCCCCCCGGCAGGCCGGGTCCTGCGTGCGCGCTTCATCACACGGGCAACGGTATCACACCCCATTGTTATCACACCCCCTGTTGGTGGGGCTCTGTGAGTGCACTTTATCACACCGGTGACATAAGATATCACACCCCCTACAGAGTACCACACCCGGGTGATTTTGTCCCCCCGAAAATGTTATCACACGGGTGTGGTATCTTATGCAACCTACGGTATGCACATGCAGATGAAAGAACGACACACACGTCATACACGTGTAGACTAGGTAATGCCCTTGCCTTTCCGCCAAAAGTATCGAGCATAATGGTAGTCGCCGCAAACCTCTGAACATGACCAAATGCCGGGAGCAAAGACTGCGCGGCACAAAGTACTTTGATCTTTGAAACCGCTCATTTGCACCGCCAGTTTTCTTCTTCTTTTTTTAGCTCCCATCGTCTGCCCCTCTGGCCCCTATCCTCCATCTACCATCTAGACGACCCAACCGGGGTCACATAGGAGGGGGGGGTCGGAACCCCTCCTGCTGTTCGGTTGCGACTGCTGGCTGACCTTCGGAAGCCCACCATTTCGATGCGGTCGAAGCAGGCGGCGGTGTCGCGACAGACTTTCTGGGTGCGCCAGAGGAGGACCGTGCACAGCAGGGACACGCCGGAGGCGATCGCGACAACCATCACGGGGAAGGCCAGCTCTGTCAAGCTACCGGTCTCCGTCCACATGCTACACGCTCTCCACGTGTGGTGTGGACTCTCTGCCTGCCGTGGTCAGAGGGTGTGTAGTTGTGTAGTTCGCTGTCCCACAGGTCCGCTCTGCAGAGCGGCAAGCGGTGCGAGAGAGCGGGCAGGGATGTATGTTCAGCTGCGGGGCCGCTTTTGACTTGTCGCAGGAACAGCCTGTGCAGCGCAGAGCGGCGCCAGGGCGCTGTGTGTGTCTGCGGTGTTGCCTTTTAACTGTACACTCAAGTCGGGGTTATGTCGGAGCTGTACTCAAGGTGAACGCTGACGACGCGTGCGGCCAACCTGTTGTCGCCTACTTCGGTAGTAGTTAGTCAAATCGTACACGACGTTTGCCACAGAGTCAAGCGAGCTGGCTGTCATATGCGTATGACCTAGCAAACCGCTCGTCTTGCTGTGGTTGTCATGCAAGTGCATTATATTACTGCGGTACAGCGGCGCTCTATTCATATGATTTCCGCGCGCTGCATGCTCTAATTGTTGTCTGGCGCTCGTGGCCTTGTCCGCAGGACCGCGAAGGGGGGCTTGCACAGCAACAGGAGAGACTGGTGCGCGTTGATGCTGGTGGACCGGGCGCGCCTCGTGATGTGGTTCATCTGGGACGTGATACTGGCGCTCTTGGCGCCGCTAAGGACGCTCACAGGCAGCCCCGGGTACAGCACCATCACCCTCGACAATGGGACAAGGTAAAGGGCAAACGAACACAATTGTACAGCGCCGCAGATTTTACTTCTCTTTTGCTGGTTGTTGGCGAGACGTGAGGTTTTCTCCCGTATTGCTGTGTGTTGGCGGGAGTGCGGAGGGATGAAACATACCGACTGGCTGACTGCCCGCAACTGCTTATGCGTCGCCTCGGTTTTGCACGAACGGTCTCTTCTTTGCACGGAACGGCAACACGCAGTATCGTGACACAGCTGTGAATCTGTGTTTTGTGACAAAGAACTCCAGCGTTTAGAGATATTGGAGTTGGTGTTCATGTGGTCGGATGCCCACCACCGTCCTTGCGAGTACGTTCTCAGCGTGTACACCTTCAGGCACTTCCAGCTGTACATTCGTGCGGAAATTCTCAGCTGGAGTTCTCTTGTTGAACCCTCTGTTGTCTCCTGCAACAGCCGTACCGTAAATTCGCGTATGCATATGACCAAGCATATGCATGACCAGTTTGCACTTCTTTCAAGTTCAATTCCCCGCGCAACGTTAGTCGGCGCAGTTCCGCGATACTGTAAGTCGTATGTACGCCAGTGTTGGCGCAACGAATAGTGGAGACATGCTGGCGTCAGTTTCAATGTACATAAAAACAGATGGCGAGAGGGGATGGGGAGGCTGGGGGGGAAGCGAGCCAAAAGACGGCGAAACAAGATATCAGCTCCCAAATCTCAACAGCAATCGTTCTCGCTGCGTACTTGGCCCTTTCCTTTCCTTCCTTCCCTATGTACAATGTTAATGTTGGGGGTCTTCACGTTAAGTTCGCCTCCCCTTCCCCCCGGGGGATGCCCCAACACGCCCTCCCCCTTAAAAAATAAAAAACAATACAAAAACAGGGTGAGGTATCGCACCGCGCCGATAGCAGAGGGAGGCTTTTCGTTCGTGTATAGGGCTACCGACACCTCCACCGGAGAGCAGTACGCCCTCAAGAAGGTTTTGTGTCAGGTGAGAGCGAAAGAGGGCACGACACCCCACACACCACACACTTCGATTGTTGTCGTCGTCGTTGTCGTATGATGGAGGGGGAGATAGGGCGGGGGGGCTAAGGGAAAGGGGGAGATCAACGGAACCATCGGGGCGGCGGCGACAGCGAAGCCTTCGCGATGTCCAGGATGAGAGCCAATGCCGTTGGAACGGCAGACGATGTGTGCTGGGTCTGCCATTGTGTCCGTGTGCAATCGTGGGCGCTTTAGACTGAGCATCGACCACGGCTAACCGGCTGCCCAATGAAAGTACCTCAGCGCCAGCAGTCAATGTGTGTGTATTATGTCCCTTCGTGTCATCTTTCCAACTCCTCTTTGCGAAAGCCAAGAATCGTGAACGCAAGGTTGCACCGTTCTGCCTGCCGTGATGTGGCGCCTCACAGGTGGACGAGCAGAGGGAGCTGGCGGTGTCGGAGATGCGGTCGCACCGGGAGTTCTCGCACCCGAACCTCATGCCGCTCAAGGACTGGGCCTTCGTGCGGGTCCCTCAAGGAGAGACCGCCTTCCTCCTCTTCCCCTTTATGGATCGTGAGTTTCATTCTATTAGAGTTGTACCTGGGAGTTTCATTTTGTTTTGCTGTCGTTGATGGATCGTGAGGTTGAACTCTTATTAGTCGTAGCTGGAAGCTGCGTTGTCTATTTGCTGTTGTCGCTGTGTGTTCACGGCAGTTGAGTGCTCAGGCCGGACCTCCTTCCTCTTTGTTGCTCGGCAATCTCCCTCTTGTTGTAACTGTACCAACCCGTGTAGAGGTTGTTATTGCCGCGTTTTGGGGTTTGGGATTTCCGCCGCTTTCTCCTTCCCCGTGCATTTGTACACACGCTGAATGGCGCTCCGACGCCGGGGAATAGGTAACCTCTGCCGGGCGGCTTCTCGGAGAAGAGTGTGGCGTCCATTCGCGCGAGCGACGAAGCGTGAGCTGGTGTGTTTGTACCTTATCCCGTCGTGATCTCTCGCTGCCCACTAGGTACACAGTAGTCAGCCGGCTTGCCTTGCTCGGTGTGCGTTAGGTATCGAAACCACGAACGCACGGTACCCGTCGAATCGACCGTGGAGGGTACGCGTATCACAAGTGCTTCGCGTGTGGTCTTGGTTGAAAGCGGTGAAAGGCATCTGCGTGAGTGTAATATCGCTTAAAGTCTTTGCCCTTGTCCCCTGCTCCGGGAAAAGGTTCATTGAGAGACGTGATCGACACGCGATTACTCGGGGGCGGGCCGCCGCTAGGAGAGGTGGAAGCCCTCGTGATTTTTGCTGGAGTGTGCCGTGGGGTAGAGGCTCTCCACCAGCACACGCCACCGTGGGCGCACAGGTGCGGTGTGCTTTCAGGAAGGAAGGCTAACGATATGTTGTCGTTATCTGGGTGTGGTGTGTCTCTTGCCTTGTCCACTTGCCTGCATTCGAGGTACTGCTGTAGCGTCGTGACGAAAGTGGAATGCGTCCTTGCGTGGGTAGTGTTTGGTCCTTGCGACAAGAGTCTCGTTGTGCGTGTTGAGCCTCTCGTCGGTTCCGACGAATTTTTCGCGACCAGCCAACGTGCGGCGGTCAGGCAGACGCGCAGGCATATTGCACACGGTACGCTGCTGGCTGCTGGCTGCTGCTGCTGCTGCATGCCATCGCCGCCACCTCTACCAGTCTTGTCGCCACCGCTCATGTCCAAAGCTTGTTACGACTAACAAAGTTTTCTCCAGCTCAAGCATGACCTCGTTGGCCCTCTCCTTCCCCCCGCCAAACAGAGATATTAAGCCGGAGAACGTGATGATGAGTAGAGACGGCACCCCGGTCCTCATGGACTTCGGGAGCGTGGCCGCGGCCGAGCGCCGCGTTCGGGGCCGCACCGAAGCCCTGGCCGCCCAGGACGAGGCCGCCGTGTACTCCACCATGCCCTACCGCGCGCCCGAGCTCTTCGACGTCGCCAGCGACGCATGCCTGGACCAGAGGACCGACGTCTGGAGTCTGGGCTGCCTGCTCTACGCACTGAGGTACGGGTTCAGCCCGTTCGAGTGCGAGTTTGTCGGAGGAGGGCCGGGGGCAGGGGGCGTGAGAGTGGTAGAATGCTCCTTTCTTCGGGTGATCGGGCAGGTCGCGTTCCCCCCGTCGGACGTCGACGGTGGGCAGCGGCGAGGGGGGGGGGGGGGGGG